AAAGTGACCGTGTTTTTATGAAAACTAAATGTAGATAGTCTAAACAATGTGATTACATAGCTACAACACACATGAAACAAAAGCAGATAGAACCTCGAAGATAGGAAAATTATAATTGATTATTGCAGCACTCTGCGGTCAGTAACTGATAGCAGAAACAGACAAAAAATCATTATGGGTATTAAGAAGTTAAATATCACTGTCATTAACAATAGGATCCTTTATAGAATCTGCTACATAAAAATAAGAAACTTCAAGTACACATGGAAACATTCACCAAGATAGAATATATTCTGGCCAATAAAACAATTCTTAATAATTTTAAGCTACTGAAATCACAAGGCAGTATATTTTTAGACCAAATTGCAGTTGAACTAGAAATCAAGAACAAAGAGATATCTGTACAAACCTCATTATTTGGGATTTAAACAATATACTTCTAAGTAACTCATGTTCAAAAAGAAATCACATGAAGAAAAAAGACATTTTGAACAGGATGAAAATGAAATAAAAATATATCAAAATTTATGAATCCTAACTAAAGTAGTGTTTAGAAGGACATTTAGAAGATTTAAGGCTTTTATTGGAAATGAGAGATTTGAAATTGATGACTGAAAGTTCTAATTTAAGTAACTAGTGAAAGAGCTAATTAAACCCAAAGTCAGCAAAATAATAAAATATGAAGGAAGGAAATATGAACACAAAACACTTTGCACTGAATAAAATTTACATTACTATTAAAACTATAGTGCGGTTTACACTGAAATGAAACGAGAATGAGCCATTTTGTTTGCTTCTTTGTATATATTCTCTGTTAACACTGCATGATGGTAATACCATACCATTATTTGTTCCTTTGGCTTTGACAAGGCAATCAGAGTTGTTCTTCTGAGATTTTCAGATTTCTTCAATGTGCATTTTAAATAATTACTAATAAAATAATTATTTTTTAAAATGCCCAGGATATTATCAATTTAATATTCTTTTTACATTTTGCTTTTCAAATGGCAACTAGTTTAACACTATGATAATCTTTTTTGATTTGAGGAGTTACCCCACTGCCACTTTCACTAATTTAATGAATTCCCACAACTTTTTCAACATCTACAATTAATCTTTGCAATCCATTTGCATTATATTGCTGCAATCCAAAAATTATCTAGAGATTTATCAACAAAAACTTTGATGAGATGGATGGAGACGTACTCAGAGAATGTTGTTACAGGGTAAATATTGTTTTGAATGAGCTTCATAAATGCTCAATAGAATTGTGTATATTTTCTCATTATATCAACACTTGCTTTTCCATTTAGATTTGTAAATGTGAAATCTCATATAATGAGAATTTATTTACTTCATAGAGCTGTTCACTCTTTTTATACACATCCAGGAGGTTTGGTGACTTGTCCCAGGGACAAAGAAACAAATGTGAGAGATCAAACTTAAGTACTTTTAACTTACATTGTTCTGAAAATAGTATGAGGCAGCAAAATAAATATATGTTCCTAAACATTTCACTGAATTCCAGATAACTAATTCTGTATTCAAAAGGTCAAATAAAGTTAATCCTTTCTTCATCCCTCTGCATAATGCATAAATTCTATAGCTTAAAATACAATACACATTTTATTACAAATAGGAAACTGAATTTTAGTTAGAGGTAATACAAACATTTCATCTTTACTTAGTATATACTAAGTTATTCTTCTGTATATAAAGATAATTGAAAATGAATCTCAGCCGGCGCCGCAGCTCAATAGGCTAATCCTCTGCCTGCGGCGCTGGCACACGGGGTTCTAGTCCTGGTCGGGGCACCGGATTCTGTCCTGGTTGCCCCTCTTCCAGGCCAGCTCTCTGCTGTGGCCCGGGAGTGCAGTGGAGGATGGCCCAAGTGCTTGGGCCCTGCACCCCATGGGAGACCAGGAGAAGCACCTGGCTCCTGCCTTTGGATCAGCGCAATGTGGCGGCCATTGGAGGGTGAACCAACGGCAAAAGGAAGATCTTTCTCTCTCTGTCTCTCTCTCTCACTGTTCACTCTGTCAAAAAAAAAAAAAAAAAAAAGAAAGAAAGAAAGAAAGAAAGAAAATGATGAAGAATGGGATTGGAGAGGGAGTGGGAGATGGGATGGCTGCGGGTAGAAGGGAGGTTATGGAGGGAAAAGCCGCTATAATCTAAAAGTTGTACTTTGGAAATTTATATTTATTAAATAAAAGTTAAAAAAACAAACCTTTCAGACAGCTTATTAAGTGCTAAATGTATTACAAAGTAATATTTAGAAGAGTTCTTTATGCTTTAATTATAAGTGCTTTAAGTATGTATGTATGTGTTCATGTATGTGTGTATCTATTGGTATATACTTTAAATTTATAATGTGAAATGCATACCATGAAAAATCTATGCATGGATTTTAATTATTTCTGCACCAAGGTAAACTTGTCTTTGAATTCCATTTTTACATGAACTTTTTGAAGCTCCCTCACTTTAAAGTCAACATCTTCCTGCAACATATGTAGTGAACATGAGAGCTGCTTGCAACACCTTGTCACTCCCTCTATTTAGCAAACTTGAGTCAGGAGATGCAAATTCATGTCTCAATTCTGACTCCTCAATCATGGCTTTTCATAAATCCTTACCTTTTTCTGATCCCATCTTCTTGACTTGTAGTAATGAAAAAGGTAGAAGGATTTCAAAGCTGCTTTACTTTCCATGATCACATAATACCATCACATAATTCATTTTCTAAATGTAAAAATATTCTCCAAAGGAAGGAAGCACTCTCATTCATGTGTGGAAAATAAATTGATTCGATCTTTGAGTTTTTCTAGGGAAGTCTCTAAATGTGCATACCTTTGAGCCAGCAATTCCATTTCCAAGATCCTAACCTATGGCAATACTCTTATATGAGAAAGTATACACAAAAAATAATTACTATAGCACTGCAACAGTAACAACAAAGAACTTAAACAGGTAACTTAAATATTGATAAATAGGTCAGGAATAAAAATCCTATCTATATTCTAAAATGCTGTGGGGAAGTGGGCATTTGGAACAGAGGTTAAGGTACCTCCAGGGATGGGATGCCTGTATACCAAGTTGGAATGCCTGAGTTCAAGTGCAAGCTTCACTCTCAATTCCAGTTTCCTGCTATTGCACACCCCAGGAAGCAGCAAGTAATGGCTCTGGCACGTGAGTACCTGCCATCCACATGGGAGACTCAGAATGAATTTCTGGCTCCTGGATTTGGCCTAGCCCAGTCCCAGCTAAAGCAGGCATTTAGACAGTAAACCAGAAGATATCTGTCTTTACCGCAGTCATTCAAGGAAATACAATAAATAAAAAATTTAAATAAATTATATGAAATAGAAATGACTTATGATCAATCAAAAGGAACATTAAAACATCCACAGAGACATGAAAAATAATGAATGCATTTCAAAATCTTCTGCATCAAAATAAAATTACTTTTAAGTTTCAGTTTCAACAAACTTTTAAAAATATACTCATCCATGAGTATATCATGAAAAGTAAGTTGAAGAATTATATACTGTAGATTCATTCAACTTTTGTTAAAAATATGGTTTGTATTTTTGTGAACACATATGCATATATATACATGTACACAAACACACACACATATATATGCAAATCAAATATTTACTTTTAAAAATTTCTGTAAGAATACCTGAAAGAGTTACTAATCATTACCTTTGAACTCAGTAATGTTTATTTCCTTTTAGCTTTGTAGTTAAAAACCTAAATAATATATTAAATTCATGTCTACTGTTTTAATAACTACTTACTGCAAATTAAAAATTGTTGCCTTACAGAATTAAAAATAGCTTAATTTATATACTTCTCTTTCCTATTTTTATTTCTGTATGTTCTTTCAACCAGTCATGTGTATGAGATTAATCAAAATATTACATCTTAAATACGACTTGCAATTTATATAGTGCTTTTAGCCCAATTAATGAGCTTGTAAAATGTTAACGCATTCTTTTCCTAAGTAGGATACATACAAATCCTTTAAAACAATGCATTTCAGGTGCATGCCCCAGAGCAAATACACATAATAAAAGTGTTGTACAAAATATCAACAGTAGATGGTGCACATTTGCTCTTATTTAACCAGTTTTGCTATTTCCAGAAAAAGAACAGAGAGTGAAGCATTAAAAAATCACTCTGAAATATGAACAAGTATAACCAATAAGAATTCTTAAGAACTAATGGAAGGGGGCCAGTGCTATGGCATAGCAGGTAAAACCACTGCCTGCAGTGCTTGCATCCCATATGGGAGCTGGTTCAAGTCCCTGCTGCTCCCCTTCTGATCTAGCTCTCTGCTATGGCCTAGGAAAGCAGATGTCCCAAGACTCTGGGCCCCTGCACCTGCATGGAGACCCTGAAGAATCTCCTAGCTCCTAGTTTCAGATTAGCTCAGCTCCGGTCATTGAAGCCATCTTTCTTTCTGTCTCTCCCTTTCATTGTTTGTAACTCTACCTCCTCTCAAATAAATAAATAAAATCTTTAAAAAATATTCATACTACATTGAAAAAAATTTTAATCTATTCATTTTGGTATAGATCTAGAAACTAGTTTTGAAATGTATGCATTGTTAGACTTGTTGGTGAAGTTCCTTTGTTTGCCGAAAGATAATGAAAAATTATCCTATGTTCACTTGAGAAGTATGTGGGAATGGATACCAATTTTATATGGGTCAACACAAATTTAAAATTAGGTAGGGGAGTCGTCTAGTTCATACTCCATGACAATCTCAAAACCAAATTTTAAATATATGACATTATATATATATATATATATATGTAATATGTGTGTATGTGTGTGTATAAAATATAACTGCTTTGCTTCATCCCTGTAGTAGAATGTTTTTAAGTGTTTGAAATTTCCAAACCTATATTCAATTCATCTTTAAAAATGTCAATGATTTAAGAGTTTTTTAATTTGATCACTAACTACTTGCTAAATTTTGAGTATATACTTACCCTCTGTTATATTTTGCTATTTCATCAAATAGAAGTTTCCACTGAGGACGCCCAATAAAAAGTCTTGAATTCAATGCATGGTATTTTTCTCCAATTATCTTCTGCCAAAAAGAAAGCACTACATATTATATGACTCACAGATTTGGATTAAACAACCCTGTTCTCTGACAACAATTTTGCCTATGTTGTGTCCTCTTACCAAATCACTATGATATAAAGTATGAAATGGCAACCTATTATCACAATCATTTGTAAGTATCATCCTCTTCCTCTTTTCCTTTAAAATTCATTATCTTCTTGAATGCCATTCTTACACATGGTTGTTCCCTAGATTTCAGCAAGTTTCGGCAACTTTAATAAAAATACTGCAATTTAAGACAAAGAATGCATCCTAATTGTTCACTCTCAAAAAGGTTCAGTATATAAATTTCATTAAAATAATTTTCCAAAACAAATCAGTTGTCATATCTAGCTCATTGTATGAGTAAAATACTATAAATTGTCATCATCAGCTTGGGGAAATTATCCTAGAAAAAACAGCCAGAGACAGCAGAACTCCAAATCTTGAGTCCATCAACAAATGACTGTCAAATGGGCTGGTGTCTGCAACTGACAACATTAGATATGAATCGACCCTGAAGCTTCGGAATCAAGCAAGAAAATGCGATAAAGCATCTGATTCATTATAGAGAAATTGACAACCAAACATAATTCATGCTCTATACTTCAACTACAATTATACCATGAGGAAAAGTGATATTGACTTGCTTCATAAGAGTGGTAAAATGAATTTTTTACATATCAAATAGTTCAGAAACCTAACTAGAAAAAAGGGATTAGTCTTTTAAATTCTTATTTGAGAGAGACAGAGACAGAGAGATAATCCATAGCTCAAATACCTTCAGAGGCCAGGAGTGGGCTAAGATGAAGCTGAAAGACAGAAACTCAACCCAGGTCTCCCGCATGGGTGGCAGGACAAGAACTTCACCATTACCTGCTGACTCCCAGGGTGTGCATTAGTAGGAAACTTGAATCAAGAACACAGCCAGGTACTTTCACATGAGATGTAGGTGTCTGAACTGGTGGATTTAACCACTAGGCCAAGTGCTTGTCCCATGTTAGCTTTTTAAGTAACCAACAATCATTCATATTTTGTATTCCAGGCATTGTGCAAATATATCATGGAAAATATTATAATAAAGTCTGTGAAAGCATTCATGCCGAGGTTTACTATAATATTCAGTCTTCTATTTCTATATTCAAAATGAGGATGTTAATATAATCTACTGGGACTGGCGCTGTGGCATAGTGGATAAAGCAGCAACCAGCAAGTGCCAGGATCCCTTATGGGCACTGATTCAAGTCCTGGCTGCTCCACTTCCAATCCAGCTCTCTGATATGGCCTAGGAAAGCAGCAGAGGTTGGTCCACCTCTAGCCATTGCGGCCATTTGGAGAGTGAACCAGAAAATGGAAGGTCTCTGTTTCTCTCTCTCTCTCTGCCTCTCTGTAACTCTGACTTTCTAATAAATAAATATTTAAAAAATAGAAGTTCAATGGAAATGGAATTAAATATTACTTATCAAAAATATTATCTGCTAAAATCTCTTGTGATTACACTTGATAATACACCTGAAATTCTTAGCACAGTGTCTAGCGTATATAAATAATCCATGGTGACTATTATTACTATCATTTTAATTTTGCTTGAAGGGAACTGAGCTTTACTGTATATGATCACACCTTCTCTCTCCACATAAAACCGTGCCTGGATGAAAACAATCAGAAGGCTGTTCATTTATAGTCTGACCTCCTGAGGTAACAGACTTGAGACAAAACCGAACAGAGGAGAGATGGCATCAGGTGACATGAAGAGGCCTGCTCCAGCCTCTTGTGAAGAGGACAAATGAAAGTCACCATACAGCTGACTTCAAGGACGAGCCACAAGTCTTTTGGAACACATTCCAAAGGAGGCCTTCCTCTAGGAAACGTCTGTTCAAACCACCTGCAGAAATTTTCTCCCAGCCCAGCTCCTACAGTAAATCTTATATTATCAAGAGGCTTGTTTAATTAACAATAACATCTAACCACATACCTGAATCCCATCTGTTTGACTGAGGTACAGCTGGATGTTGACATAGTCAGGTCTGTTCTCTTGCCAAAACTGAGAGGGTACAAAAATGAGCAGATTTATTAAAATCTTTCTGTATACTGAGATTTTCTTCTACTTTAACACATGTGATTGTAGAATTTAACATGTAACTTTGCTTATAAGTCAACATCTGTAAGAAATGTAGTTTAACATGAACAACCTGCTCTACTTGCAAATGCTGGTTGTTATTATTATGGTGGTGGAAGGGAAAATTCTCTATTGTTTTTACAGAAACAAAATCTACCAATATTTGTAGAGTATGACAGATACTTTACTAATGTTTCCCTAAGTCCTTGCCAACTATTCCTTATTTCATTCCTTACCAGTCTCTATAATTTTACTTAGGAGTTCATTTATCAAGGACATAAATTTTTTAAGCAGAGGAAGAAAATAGAACAGTGGTATTGAGTATGCATGGTAGGGAAAAAAAACAAATAAAAGTAATCAATAGATACTTTTTACCATTCCTGCATTTTACTTCTTCAGCACTGAATTTCTTTGTATATAAATGCATGAGGCAGGAAATAAATCTGTAAAAATCATCTAGAAAATTATGTAACAATGGCTTCCAATATCCACAGACTCTGGCATCACCATTGTATTTTACATCTCTGTTAATTAAACTACTCTAAGTACCTCATATATGTGGAATCATACAATATTTGACCTTTTGTATCCAGTTTATTTTCCAAAGCATAAGGTCTTCAGGGTTAATCAGTGTTGTAGCATGTATCTAATATTAGAGGGCATGTTAATTCATACTGTGTGTTTGGGGACTACTCAGCAAAAACAAAACAAAACAAAATGCTGTTTAAGCAGAGACTTCAGGTCGTAGATTTAAGTCTTTAATCCATGTTGAGTAAATTTTTGTGTAAGGTGAAAGGTAGGGGTCTTGCTTCATGCTTCTGCATGTGCAAATCCAATTTTCCCAGCACCATTTACTGAATAGACTGTCCTTGCTCCAGGAATTGGTTTTAGATCCTTGGTAAAATATAAGTTGGCTGTAGATGTTTGGGTTGATTTCTGGTGTTTCAATTCTGTTCCATTGGTCTATCCATCTGTTTCTGTACCAGTACCATGCTGTTTTGAATACAACTGCCCTGTAGTATGTTCTGAAATCTGGTATTGTGATGCCTCCAGCTTTGTTTTTGTTGTACAAGATTGCTTTAGCTATTCGAGGTCTCCTGTGTCTCCATATGAATTTCAGCATCATTTTTTCCAGATCTGAGAAGAAGGTCTTCGGTATCTTGATTGGTATTGCATTGAATGTATAAATTGCTTTTGGGAGAATGGACATTTTGATGATATTGATTCTTCCAATCCATGAGCATGGAACATTTTTCCATTTCTTGGTATCCTCTTCTATTTCTTTCTTTAAGGTTTTGTAATTTTCATTGTAGAGATCTTTAACGTCCTTGGTTAAATTTATTCCAAGTTATTTGATTGTTTTTGTAGCTATTGTGAATGGGATTGATCTTAGAAGTTCTTCCTCAGCTGTGGCATTGCCTGTGTATAGAAAGGCTGTTGATTTTTGTGCATTGATTTTATACCTTGCTACTTTGCCAAAATCTTCTATGAGTTCCAATAATCTCTTAGTAGAGTTCTTTGGGTCCCCTAAATAAAGAATAATATCATCTGCAAAGAGGGATAGTTTGAGTGCTTCCTTCCCAATTTTTTCCCTTTAATTTCTTTTTCTTGCCTAATAGCTCTGGCTAGAACTTCCAGAAATATATTGAATAGCAGTGGTGAGAGTGGGCATCCCTGTCTGGTACCAGATCTCAGTGGAAATGCTTCCAACTTTTCCCCATTCAATAGGATGTTGGCCGTGGGTTTTTCATAGATTGCTTTGATTGTATTGAGGAATGTTCCTTCCATACCCAGTTTGCTTAGAGTTTTCATCATGAAAGGGTGTTGTATTTTATCAGATGCTTTCTCTGCATCTATTGAGATAATCATATGGTTTTTCTTCTGCAGTCTGTTAATGCGGTGTATCACATTGATTGATTTGCACACATTAAACCATCCCTGCATACCAGGGATAAATCCCACTTGGTCTGGGTGGATGATCTCTCTGATGTGTTGTTGCATTCTATTGGCGAGAATTTTATTGAGGATTCTTGTGTCTATGTTCATCAGGGATATTGGTCTGTAATTCTCTTTCAGTGCTGCATCTTTTTCCGGCTTAGGAATTAAGGTGATGCTGGCTTCATAGAAAGAATTTGGAAGGACTCCCTCTTTTTTGATTGTTCTGAATAGTTTTGAGAAGAATTGGAGTCAGTTCTTCTTTAAATGTCTAAATCTACGACCTGACACCATCAAATTATTAGAGAGCATTGGAAAAACCCTGCAAGATATAGGTACCGGCAATGACTTCTTGGAAAACACCCCAGAAGCACAGGCAGTCCAAGCCAAAATTAACAATTGGGAATGCATCAAATTGAGAAGTTTCTGTACTTCAAAAGAAACAGTCAGGAAAGTGAAGAGGCAACCAACAGAAGGGGAAAAAATATTTGCAAACTATGCAACAGATAAAGGGTTGATAACCAGAATCTACAAAGAAATCAAGAAACTCCACAACATCAAAACAAACAACCCACTTAAGAGATGGGCCAACGACCTCAACAGACATTTTTCAAAAGAAGAAATCCAAATGGCCAACAGACACATGAAAAAAATGTTCAAGATCACTAACAATCAGGAAAATGGAAATCAAAATCACAAAGAGGTTTCACCTCACCCCGGTTAGAATGGCTCACAATCAGAAATGTCCCAACAATAGATGCTGGAGAGGAAGTGGGGAAAAAGGGACACTAACCCACTGTTGGTGGGAATGCAAACTGGTTAAGCCACTATGGAAGTCAGTCTGGAGATTACTCAGAAACCTGAAGATAACCCTACCATTCAACCCAGCCATCCCACTCCTTGGAATTTACCCAAAGGAAATTAAATTGGCAAACAAACAAGCTGTCTGCACCTTAATGTTTATTGCAGCTCAATTCACAATAGCTAAGACCTGGAACCAACCCAAATGCCCATCAACAGTAGACTGGATAAAGAAATTATGGGACATGAACTCTATAGAATACTATACAGCAGTCAAAAACAACGAAACCCGGTCATTTGCAACTAGATGGAGGAATTTGGAAAACATCATGCTGAGTGAATTAAGCCAGTCCCAAAGGGACAAATATCATATGTTCTCCCTGATCGGCGACAACTAACTGAGCACCAAAGGGGAAACTTGTTGAAGTGAAATGGACACTATGAGAAACAGTGAATTGATCAGCTCTTGTCCTGACGGTTGATGTACAATGTAATACTTTATCCATTTTAGTATTTTTTTGTTGTTGTGGTACCATTGGCTGAACTCTGTAATTAACACACAATTATTCTTAGGTGTTTAAATTTTAACTGAAAAGTGACCCCTGTTAGGAATTTGGAAAACATTATGCTGAGTGAAATAAGCCAATCCCAAAGGGACAAATACCACTTGTTCTCCTTGATAGGTGACAACTAACTGAGCACCAAAAAGGAAATCTGTTAAAGTGAAATGAACACTATGAGAAATGGTGACTTGATCAGCCCTCACCCTGACTGTTGATGAGCAACTTAATATGTTATCCCTCTTAGTATATTTTTTGTTTGTTCTACTTAATACTTTTGGTTGAATACTGTAATCAATACACAATTATTCTTAAGTGCTGAAACTTAACTGAAAAGTCATTGCTATTAAAATAAGAGTGGGAATAAGAGAGGGAAGAGATGTGCAATTCGGGACATGCTCAAGCTGACTTACCTCAAACAGTAGAGTTAGAAACATACCAGGGGATTCCAATTCAATCCCATCAAGGTGGCATGTACCAATGCCATCTCACTAGTCCAAGTGATCAATTTCTGTTCACAATTGATCATAATGATAGGACTAAGAACCAAAGGGATCACATAAACAAGATTAGTGTCTACAAATACTAGCTGATAGAATCAAAAAGGGAGAGAACGATCCAACATGGGAAGTGAGATACACAGCAGACCCATAGAATGGCAGATGTCCTAAACAGCACTCTGGCCTCAGAATCAGCTCTTAAGGCATGTGGATCTGGCTGAAGAGGCCCTGAGAGTATTTCAGGCATGGAAAGCCAAGACACTCTGGGGGAAAAAAAATAAATAAATTAAAAAAAAAAAAAAAAACAAACCTAAATGAAAGATCTCCGCGAGTGAGATCCCAGTGGAAAGAATGGGTCATCAAAGAAGGAGGTACCTTTCTCTGGAGGGAGGAGAGAACTTCCACTTTGACCATGGCCTTGTCTAAATATGATCAGAGTTGGTGGACTCAGGGGGCTTCCTTACCCTTGGCAGCTCATGACTGGAGCATAGGGTGATTACTGATGCCATAAACAAGAGTGCCAATTTGTTAAGTCAACAACAGGAGTCACTGTGCACTTACTCCTCATGTAGGATCTTTGTCCTTAGTGTGCTGTACATTGAGATTTAATGCTATAACTAGTACTCAAACAGTATTTTTCTTTTTTTTAATATTTTTTTTTAATATTTTGACAGGCAGAGTGGACAGTGAGAGAGACAGAGAGAAAGGTCTTCCTTTGCTGTTGGTTCACCCTCCAATGAGTGGAAGGGGAGAGGGATGAAGCCAGCGCACCGCGCTGATCCGATGGCAGGAGCCAGGAGCCAGGTGCTTTTCCTGGTCTCCCATGGGGTGCAGGGCCCATGCACCTGGGCCATCCTCCACTGCACTCCCGGGCCACAGCAGAGAGCTGGCCTGGAAGAGGGGCAACCGGGACAGAATCCGGCGCCCCGACCGGGACTAAAACCCGGTGTGCCGGCGCCGCGAGGCGGAGGATTAGCCTAGTGAGCCGCGGCGCCGGCCTCAAACAGTATTTTTCACTTTATGTTTCTGTATGGGATCAAACTGTTGAAATCTTTACTTAATGTAGTACGACATTTCGGTCTGTATATAAAGAGAG